AATCATGAGAAAACTAAAAGAGAACTATTTGACACACTTGAAAGAATCAAGCAAAAAACGGAGCAAACTTGAATGCTATCTGGCCCTAAACAGAGAGTACACAGTGGCAGAATACCTGACCACTGTGACTGACCCAAAATTAAGAAAATCCTTGACCATGTACAGACTAAGTGAGCATAGCCTTGCTATGCTTGCCATGCATAAAATATATGCACGCATGACTGTAAGTCGCTTTGGATAAAAGTGTCTGCTAAACGGCATATATTATTATTATTATTATTATTATATTACTATCGAGAGAGGCCGCCATAGGCAGACCTGGCTCTCAAGGGAAGACACACAATTAGGTGAAAACAGCTGCACTTCCTTACCTCCTGCCAAATTTATGACCATATTAGAGACACATATTTCCCACATATCACAAAGAATTTGAAAACAAATCAAACATTGATCAACTACCATACCTGTTAGGCGAAAAATATTGCAGTGTGCAATCAAAGCAGCAAGATTTGTGACCAGGTGCCATTAGAAAAGGGCAACCAGTGGAGGACAAACAACAATGTAAATATAACCAATATTCATCTGTATTTATCGTCCCCTACTAATTGTACTTCAAATATTTGCACATTGTTAAAACACTGTACAAAGCTGATAACATAGCATTTGTGAGTGCAATGTTTACTGTTAATTTGTAATTGTTTTTGTTTTCTTGTGTTTTGTTTTTTCTCATTTTTGTTTCTTGTTTATTTCACTTGCTTTGGCAATATAAACATATGTTTCCCATGTCAATAAAGCCCCTTTTGAATTTAATTGAGAGAGAGGCGAAAGAGAGAGACGGAAGAGAGAGAGAGAGAGAGAGAAGGGGGGCAGTGGTGGGAGGTGATGGTGGGAGGGGATGGGTGCTCGACAGCCGCTTGCTGTTGGCAGGAGGAGAATGGTCCGGTAATTAGCCAGCCCCCGTACAGACAAAAACACAAGAAAAAGAAGAAACAAAAAAAAGATGTGCACTGTGAAAACAAGGCTCCTGCCAGGCTATGTTCCTTAGAGGGGAGACCTGGACATGACTGTGTGGTGTGGTGTACAGGCTGGGAACAAAGGAAGGAGAGGAGAGCTAGAGAAGGGAGGCAAGCCGATGAGGAGTGGGCCCACGACAGCGCCTACAGAGCTGCTGGAGAATGGGAGTGTGTGTGTGCGGGGAAAAAAGTATTTAGTCAGCCACCAATTGTGCAAGTTCTCCCACTTAAAAAGATGAGAGAGGCCTGTAATTTTCATCATAGGTACACGTCAACTATGACAGACAAAATGAGAAAAGAAAATCCAGAAAATCACATTGTAGGATTTTTAATTAATTTATTTGCAAATTATGGTGGAAAATAAGTATTTGGTCACCTACAAACAAGCAAGATTTCTGGCTCTCACAGACCTGTAACTTCTTCTTTAAGAGGCTCCTCTGTCCTCCACTCGTTACCTGTATTAATGGCACCTGTTTGAACTTGTTATCAGTATAAAAGACACCTGTCCACAACCTCAAACAGTCACACTCCAAACTCCACTATGGCCAAGACCAAAGAGCTGTCAAAGGACACCAGAAACAAAATTGTAGACCTGCACCAGGCTGGGAAGACTGAATCTGCAATAGGTAAGCAGCTTGGTTTGAAGAAATCAACTGTGGGAGCAATTATTAGGAAATGGAAGACATACAAGACCACTGATAATCTCCCTCGATCTGGGGCTCCATGCAAGATCTCACCCCGTGGGGTCAAAATGATCACAAGAACGGTGAGCAAAAATCCCAGAACCACAAGGGGGGACCTAGTGAATGACCTGCAGAGAGCTGGGACCAAAGTAACAAAGCCTACCATCAGTAACACACTACGCCGCCAGGGACTCAAATCCTGTAGTGCCAGACGTGTCCCCCTGCTTAAGCCAGTACATGTCCAGGCCCATCTGAAGTTTGCTAGAGTGCATTTGGATGATCCAGAAGAGGATTGGGAGAATGTCATATGGTCAGATGAAACCAAAATATAACTTTTTGGTAAAAACTTAACTCGTCGTGTTTGGAGGACAAAGAATGCTGAGTTGCATCCAAAGAACACCATACCTACTGTGAAGCATGGGGGTGGAAACATTATGCTTTGGGGCTGTTTTTCTGCAAAGGGACCAGGACGACTGATCCGTGTAAAGGAAAAATGAATGGGGCCATGTATCGTGAGATGTTGAGTGAAAACCTCCTTCCATCAGCAAGGGCATTGAAGATGAAACGTGGCTGGGTCTTTCAGCATGACAATGATCCCAAACACACTGCCCGGGCAACGAAGGAGTGGCTTCGTAAGAAGCATTTCAAGGTCCTGGAGTGGCCTAGCCAGTCTCCAGATCTCAACCCCATAGAACATCTTTGGAGGGAGTTGAAAGTCTGTGTTGCCCAGCGACAGCCCCAAAACATCACTGCTCTAGAGGAGATCTGCATGGAGGAATGGGCCAAAATACCAGCAACAGTGTGTGAAAACCTTGTGAAGACTTACAGAGAACGTTTGACCTGTGTCATTGCCAACAAAGGGTATATAACAAAGTATTGAGAAACTTTTGTTATTGACCAAATACTTATTTTCCACCATCATTTGCAAATAAATTCATTAAAAATCCTACAATGTGATTTTCTGGATTTTTTCTCCTCATTTTGTCTGTCATAGTTGACGTGTACCTATGATGAAAATTACAGGCCTCTCTCATCTTTTTAAGTGGGAGAACTTGCACAATTGGTGGCTGACTAAATACTTTTTTCCCCCACTGTATGTGTTCCAGCAGGTATACCTCACTGGTCATCCCCAAAGCCAACACCTCCTTTGGCCGCCATTCCTTCCAGTTCTCTGCTGCAAATGACTGGAACGAAGCTGGAGACACTTATCTCCCTCACTAACTTTAAGCATCAGTTGTCAGAGCAGCTTACCGATCACTGCAGCTGTACACAGCCCATCTGTAATTAGCCCACCCAACTACCTCATCCCCATATTGTTATTTACATTGTTATTTATTTAGCTAATTTGCACCCCAGTATCTCTATTTGCACATAATCTTCTGCACATCTATCACTTCAGTGTTAATACTAAATTGTATTTATTTTGCACTATGGCCTATTTATTGCCTTACCTCCATAACATACTACATTTGCACACACTGTATATAGATTTTTTATTGTGTTATTGACTGAACGTTTTGTTTATTCCATATGTAACCCTGTGTTGTTGTTTTTATCTCACTGCTTTATCTTGGCCAGGTCGCAGTTGTAAATGAGAACTTGTTCTCAACTGGCTTACCTGGTTAAATAAAGGTGAAATAAAATTACAAATATATAAATAATAATTAACACAGTCCCCTCTGAACAGTTGATGTTGAGATGTGTCTGTGACTTGAACTCTGTGAAGCATTTATTTGGGCAGCAATTTCTGAAGCTGGTAACTCTAATGAACTTATCCTCTGCAGCAGAGGTAACTCCGGGTTTTTCAATCTTGTGGCGGTCCTCATGAGAGCCAGTTTCTTCATAGCGCTTGATGGTTTTTGCGACTGCACTTGAAGAAACTTTCAAAGTTCTTGAAATGTTCCGTATTGACTGACATTCATGTCTTAAACTAATGATGGACTGTCGTTTCTCCTTGCTTATTTGAGCTGTTCTTCTAATATGGACTTGGCCTTTTAACAAATAGGGCTATCTTCTGTATACCACCCCTGCCTTGTCACAACACAACTGATTGGCTCAAACACATTAAGAAGGAAAGAAATCCCACAAATTAACTTTTAAGAAGGCACACCTGTTAATTGAAATGCATTCCAGGTGACTACCTCATGAAGCTGGTTGAGAGAATGCCAAAAGTGTGCAAAGCTGTCATCAAGGCAAAGGGTGGCTATTTGAAGAATCTCAAATCTCAAATATATTTTGATTTGTTTAACACTTTTTTGGTTACTACATGATTCCATATTTGTTATTTCATAGTTTTGATGTCTTCACTATTATTCTACAATGTAAAAATAAAGAAAAACCCATGAATGAGTAGGTGTGTCCAAACTTTTGACTGGTAGTGTACATATTTAAAAACATTTAATTCGTAAAGATTAACGAGGTCCGGACCTCGGTGTCCTCATAGGTAGTTATGGCCCTGCTTACACTGACACCCCAACACACACATACACACTACATATACTGTGGTCCTCTGTAGCTCAGCTGGTAGAGCACGGCGCTTGTAACGCCAAGGTAGTGGGTTCGATCCCCGGGACCACCCATACACAAAAAGATTTATGCATGCATGACTGTAAGTCGCTTTGGATAAAAGCATCTGCTAAATGGCATATTATATACACCCACACACAAATAACATGCGCACACATGCATACTGATGCCACGCACACAGACACGCTGCTACTATCTATTATCTTCCTTTTTCCTAGTCACTTTACCCCTGCCTACATGTACATAGCTACCTCTATTACCTCGTACCCCTGTACATCGACTCGGTACTGGTACTCCCTGTATGTTACAGGAGTGGGTTGCAGTTCCGGAGTGACCCACTAGGTGTCATCCTCTGACAACCTTAGGCACCTCCTCACTCACAGTCAGGACTAATTATAATATAATATGCCATTTAGCAGATGCTTTTATCCAAAGCGACTTACAGTCATGTGTGCATAATTTTTTTTTGTGTATGGGTGGTCCCAGGGATCGAACCCACTACCCTGGCGTTACAAGCGCCGTGCTCTACCAGCTGAGCTACAGAGGACCACATCTGCCTATTGGTGTCACCTGTGGCTATCTGATTCACCTGTGTATTTATGCCCTCACTTCCCTGTGTTCCCTTGCTCAGTTTTCTCTGCTAGCTGCTCAGCAGTACTACGACTGTCTAAGAAGGAAGCTAGCGGTGGTTTAAATCAATTAAAATAGTTAAAAATTGTTTGTAACTAATATAGAGAAGAGTCGGAGCAGTGGTGCGGGCGCTATTCTCCTCGCGGAGATGGCGAAAAATGCGAATTTTAGGGCGATTCCCAGGATTGGGATCACGAACGCAGTTAGGTTTGCGTGGAAGGAGAAGGACATGGAGCCTTTTGGAAGGGAAACATTTAGGAGGACTTTGTTGATGGGAGTGTTAAAGCTGGCGGTAAAGGACGTGATGTGCCTCCAGGCGAACCCCTTGGAAGGGGCTTATGATGTGGTTTTTCACACGGAGGGGAAGCATGACGAGGTCATGAAAAAGGCAAGGGAGGTGGAGAAGGCCAGGCCGATGTGTCACTACGAGGTGACAAGCTTGGCCAAGAACAACTTCAGGGTAATAACAGTAAACATGTATAACCCGCATGTTAAGGATGAGGAGGTGAGGGCTATTATGGGGAGGTATATGGACAATGTCTCCTCGGCAAGGCTCCTCAAAGACTCACTAGGGTTCTGGAATGGGAGGAGATACTTCCAGGCTCTGTTGAGGGAAGACCCAAAGGGCCTGGGAGGTTACCTTCATCCTCCAGCTCTGTTCTCCCTGGGGGCTGACAGGGGGACATTGTTTTATGGTTTTGGAGGTGGATGGTGGTGAGCCCAGGATGCAGGGAACCCAGGAGCCAAACACCATTCCTGCATCCTGGGTTGGAGAGATGGAGGGGAGTGGGGGGGCATCTGGGGGGGAGTCGGAGTCCCTACAGGAGGAGATGGAGCAGGGGAGCATCAGGTGAGCCTCCTGTTTTGTTTAGTTTTTTGGCGTTTAGTAGGTTGTAATTTGTGAAATGTATTATGGCAGGGATTATTTTATTTTTGTTACTTTAAATGTGAAGGGAATAAGGGAGGATGTTAAAAGAAGGGCGGTTTTGGGGTATTTAGAGGGGGTGGGTTTTGATGTTTGTTTTATACAGGAGGTTCACCTAAGGGATAGTGGGAATGTAATAAGGTTTAAGAGGGAGTGGGACAAGGGAGAGTCGGTTTGGGGTATGGGGGGGGGTGGGGGTGCACTAATCGGGGGTAGGGATTTTGTTTGGGAATAGGGAGGTGAAGGTGGAGGGCACTTTGGTAGGTATGCAGGGGAGGGTTTTGGGGGTGGATGTCACAGTAAGGGATGATAGATATAGGGTAATTGGGGTGTACGGGCCACAGTTGGCGGCAGGCAGGAGGGAGATGGTGGACTGCCTGGCGCCGCTGTGTGCCACGAATAGACACTTGGTGATAGGGGGGATTTTAATATAGATATAGGGAGGGGGAGGCACAGTAGTGCAGGTGCCATTGCCGGGCTAATGGCGTGCCATGGTCTGGTAGATGGGGGCCTGCACACTGCTCCGACGATGGCAGGTCCAACATGGCGCAACTCCAGAGGGGTCGAGCGGAGGCTCGACTATATTTTTCTATCCAGGTCACTGGGTCAGTTGTCTAGGCGTTTGTTGCCTGTGTTTTTTTCGGATCATGACGGGGTGCTGCTGCAGGTGGGGGCACCAGTCTGCCTCTTCGGTAGGGGGTACTGGAAGTTAGAACGGGAGGTACTGGATGAGCAGGCTTTCGTTAATGGTTTTGTTGATTTCTTTAGGGGGCTTGAGGGCCTCCGGTCCATGTGTGAGGGGGTGTTAGAGTGGTGGGAAATAGCAAAGGTGAGGATTAGGGTTTTTATATTAGGATATTGTAAGAGGAAAAAGAGGGAGGAAAGGAGGGAGGTGGATCATATCCAAAGGCTGCTCGAACTCGAGCTCGAGGCAGGCAACCTTGGTGGGTCGGTAGACTGGGAGAGATCCTCTGCCCTAAAGGCGCAACTTAGGGAGGTGCATGAGCAGAAGGCTTGCGCTTTCCTGGAGTGTGCGCATAGTGGGTTTTTAGAACACGACGAGACTTGTTCCGCCGTGTTCTTAAATCAGTTAGGGGAAGACAGAGTAGGAAGGTAATGTACAGGGTTAGGGAAGAAAATGGTAGAGTAGTGAGAAAAACTGAGGAAATGGTCAAGGTGACCACAGAACATTTCCGAGGTTTTTTTCAAGAAAGGGCAGTAGATGTAGAGCAGGGAAACGTGTTTTTAGAACACCTGTCCCGGCGAGTGCCAGAAGACATTAGAGAAGCGATGGAGGTTCAGATCTCCCTCGAAGAGGTTGAGAGCGCCCTCAGGAGGATGGGAAAAGGGAAGGTGCCCGGGATGGATGGGCTGCCGGCAGAGTTTTACCTGAAGTTTTGGGGGAAACTTGGTCCGTCAGTCCTTGAAGTCTTGAAGGCCATCTTCGAGACGGGGGTCCCGGGGTGATCGATGGCAGTAGGTGTGCTGTCAGTTCTTTACAAGAAGGGGGACGCAACAGACATTGGCAACTGGCGGCCGTTGACCATGCTGTGCGTAGATTATAAACTGCTTGCGAAGGTTCTAGCGGACCGGTTGCGCACAGCCCTTCCCTACGTCGTCCATGAGGATCAGACGTGTGGGATAGAGGGCCGCTCTATTAGGTGGAACCTGAGTTTGATTAGGGACTCCATCGCTTGGGTAGAGGATAGAGGGCTGCCGTTAATGGTAGCAGCACTTGATCAGACTAAAGCCTTTGATCGAGTGAATAGATATTTTCTTTTCAGGGTGTTAGGTAGGTTAGGTTTTGGGGAGAAGTATATATGGTGGATCTGTGCTTTATATGTCGGAGCAGGGTGCCGGGTTAATGTAAATGGTCACATGGGTGACGTTTTGACCTCACGTAGGGGGTCAGGCAGGGGTGCCCGCTCTCGGCACACCTTGCTTGTCCCTGGTAGCGGTGGGCTGCACGTTAAGATGAAGCAGTACACCGACGACACTTCCTTGTTACTATGCAAGGACTCGTGCCTGACTAGGTCCTTTGCCATCATTGGGGAATTCACTCAAGCGTCGGGAGCAGTTCTCAATCACGCTAAGTCTTCCGTTAAGTTTTTTTGGAAGATGGCGTGGGAGGACGGATGTGCCTGCTGGGATATCTCTCTGTATCGGGGCCCTGAAGATTCTCGGGGTCTTGTTTGAGACCTCCGGCTCAGCGACGCTGAACTGGAACAAGAGCATCGCAGTGGTACAGAGGAAGCTGGGAATGTGGAGGGCTAGGTCGTTGTCCTTTATAGGCAAGGTCCTGGTCCTCAAGGTGGATGTGTTGCCGTCTCTTTTGTATATGGCGTACATCTACCCATTGCCAGCTAGTCTGAGGAGGCCTCTAGTGAGGCTAGTGTTTCAGTTCATGTGGGGTGGCAGGCTCGAGCGTGTCGCAAGGGTTCGCATGCTCTGTCCCATCGGGGAGGGAGGTAGGGGGGTACCACATTTCCCCCTCAAGCTGGACTCGATTTTTGTTTCTTATTTGTTGACTGAGCTGGCTCATCCGGTAATACACCCGTCTGGTTACTTCCTGCTGGTGTTCTTCTCTTACCAGGCGAGAAGCGTAATGGTGTGGACTAACACGGGTCCTCGGGCGGAACAGCTGTCAGCCTATTTTTTGGAGACCTATGTGCTCCTCATTTGTTTTAGTGTATAGTCTGTTGTTTTGTATCCTGGTTTTTGGACCACCAGTAAAGATCCTTGTTTCACCATCCTTGCCTACTGCCTACTGTCTATCCTGCACCACACCTTTTTTTTATTTTTTATTTTTTTTATTTCACCTTTATTTAACCAGGTAAACCAGTTGAGAACAAGTTCTCATTTACAACTGCGACCTGGCCAAGATAAAGCAAAGCAATGCGATAAAAACAACAACACAGAGTTACATATGGGGTAAAACAAAACAAAGTAAAAAAATACAACAGAAATACATATATATACAGTGTGTGCAAATTTAGCAAGTTATGGAGGTAAGGCAATAAAATAGGCTATAGTGCAAAATAATTACAATTAGTATTAACACTGGAATGATAGATGTGCAAGAGATGATGTGCAAATAGAGATACTGGGGTACAAATGAGCAAAATAAATAACAATATAGGGATGAGGTAGTTGGGCGGGCTAATTTCAGATGGGCTGTGTACAGGTGCAGTGATCGGTAAGGTGCTCTGACAACTGATGCTTAAAGTTAGTGAGGGAGATAAGTGTCTCCAGCTTCAGAGATTTTTGCAATTTGTTCCAGTCATTGGCAGCAGAGAACTGGAAGGAATTGCGGCCAAAGGAGGTGTTGGCTTTGGGGATGACCAGTGAGATATACCCGCTGGAGCGCAGACTACGGGTGGGTGTTGCTATGGTGACCAATGAGCTAAGATAAGGCGGGGATTTGCCTAGCAGTGATTTATAGATGGCCTGGAGCCAGTGGGTTTGGCGACGAATATGTAGTGAGGACCAGCCAACAAGAGCGTACAGGTCACAGTGGTGGGTATTATATGGGGCTTTGGAGACAAAACGGATGGCACTGTGATAGACTACATCCAATTTGCTGAGTAGAGTGTTGGAGGCTATTTTGTAAATGACATCGCCGAAGTCAAGGATCGGTAGGATAGTCAGTTTTACGAGGGCATGTTTGGCAGCATGAGTGAAGGAGGCTTTGTTGCGAAATAGGAAACTGATTCTAGATTTAACTTTGGATTGGAGATTCTTAATGTGAGTCTGGAAGGAGAGTTTACAGTCTAACCAGACACCTAGATATTTGTAGTTGTCCACATACTCTAGGTCAGACCCGTCGAGTGTAGTGATTCTAGTCGGGTGGGCGGGTGCAAGCAGCGTTCGGTTGAAGAGCATGCATTTAGTTTTACTAGTGTTTAAGAGCAGTTGGAGGCTACTGAAGGAGTGTTGTATGGAATTGAAGCTTGTTTGGAGGTTTGTTAACACAGTGTCCAATGAAGGGCCAGATGTATACAAAATGGTGTCGTCTGCGTAGAGGTGGATCTGAGAGTCACCAGCAGCAAGAGCGACGTCATTGATATACACAGAGAAAAGAGTCGGCCCAAGAATTGAACCCTGTGGCACCCCCATAGAGACTGCCATAGGTCCAGACAACAGGCCCTCCGATTTGACACATTGAACTCTATCTGAGAAGTAGTAGGTCACACCTCACACCAACCCTTACACCTGTATATAGACATGTTATTTTTACCTTTTATTGTTACTCGTTATTCACTGTGTATTTATTATTCTTGTCACTATTTCCATTTTTTATTTAATGTTTTATTACTGCATTGTTGGAAAAGGACCCGTAAGTAAGCATTTCACTGTTAGTCTACACCTGTTGTTTACTAAGGATGTGATAAATAACATTTGATTTGATCCCCTAGCAGAGTGAATGCTAATAAACTTAAGTCTAATGGAGAGACTCCCTCCTGTTCCTACTAATTAACTCTCACCCTCTGCGGTTTGCATAAGGATGACTGAGAACGTGTGTGTGTGTTGGTGCATTTCAGTACATGTGTACTGTGTGTGTGTGTGTGTGTGTGTGTGTGTGTGTGTGTGTGTGTGTGTGTGTGTGTGTGTGTGTGTGTGTGTGTGTGTGTGTGTGTGTGTGTGTGTGTGTGTGTGTGTGTGTGTGTGTGTGTGTGTGTGTGTGTGTGTGTGTGTGTGTGTGTGTATGTGTGTGTGCTGAGACAGAATTTGACCTGGAGCCCAGGGCTAGCCTCATTAGTGAAAGGGCTTGGTTCATTAATTGATGTGAGTGAGGAACGTGCGGCCTGGGCTCTGAATGCTAAAAGAGAATGATCTACCACATCAGCAGCACAGAGAAGCAGCTTCACACTGAGATGTCCTTTTGTCTTTGAAATGCTCTCTAGTCTTACAGGAAACAGTAAAAACAATTAAAAGGTTGTCGATAAATGTCAGAGCTGGTCAGTAAAGCCATCTCTCCCTTCTGTTCCTCCCCCACCTGAGCAGGGTGGAATAACCTCAGTACTCTCTCTGCCAATGGGGTCACACACACAAATCCCAGAGCAGAAACTATTGATAACAAGTTGCTCTCTTGAGTGAGTCAAGTAGAATGAAGAATGAGAGTGAGACAGAGAAAGAGGCTAGTGGAAAAGTGACAAAAAATATAAAATACTGGAACCAAGACTTAAAAAGACCTGATATTGGCACAAGGTGGAGGGAATATTAGAACATAACTAATTAAATGTACACTTAATCCAGTTTGTTTATACTGGATTAAGCATACATTTTCATTAACTGTAAGAATTTATTATGCAAGAGACACAATTCACAAATTCTACAGCACAATGGCAGAGTCATGTCTGAAGTGTAAAACTAACGACTCAATAATCCATGTCTTCTGGGAATGCTATAGAGTCAAAGTTATGGCTGTCAGAAGTATTACAATGTAAATGTACTTTTAATCTGTCTGTCTGCATATTTCAAGACATAGCATATAAGGGTGCAGTGAGATACCCTATGGGCTGGACGATACTTTCCTCATCAATCATCTTAAAAAATGGAAATCAACCAATCCGCCATCGTTAACACAATGGAAAGGTAAAATGCTTTATCTAAATGTTGAAAGTGCGTGGGTGACTGAGAGAAACAAAATGGTGCAGTTTGAGGCCATGTGGCAGAGAATGTTATGGGCGCTGGAGATGGGGGTGTGAGCAGGTGGGTCTGGGCAGGGTTTATGTTGTGGATGTTTGTGTGCGTCTGTATGTTGTCGTTTGTATGTTCTGAATGTAAAAAAAATCCTAAATTAAATCTTTTTTTTTTAAGGAAAAGAAGAGACGGGAGAGTTAAGGAAACTCAAGGGAAAAAAGAGCAAGGTATTGATGTGGATAGAATGTTCGAATTACAGATAAAACACGCTAAAATGGTCCAACCCACTGCACTCCACTCCAAACAGTCCTTCCACGCTATCACTGATGCTTTGAGGCCTACTATGGCAGTATGCGCTGAAGATCGATCCAGTCGCTATGCCTGAGAGAGGCAGGCTGGTCCAGCCAGGCAGAGTCCCGGGAGAGCCTTGACACAGGCTGGCTCTTTGTTTGACATGCTCCACACTCCTTGAAGCACAGCCTCCCAGCCTCTGTCTGGAGTATCAGCCTGGCTGGGCCCACTGGGAGCTGGGTTCGGCAGCGCTGACCACAGGGCTCAGATGGACTGCTGATGGGTCCTTCTGCCCAGCAGCCCCGTGAGGCCAGGGCAGGCAGAGGGGTGGGGATGTAGACAGGTGTGTTTATGTTCTGCATGTTGCCCCTCCAGGGGCCAGGACAGCTGCCCGTTGCATGGGTTTTGGGAGGGGGCAGATAGAGACAAAGAGAGAGAGTTTATTTTGTGTCAGATATTGAAATGCAAAGACATGGCTTCTGTACAGACAAAGTAAGGTACAGTGGATAGGTATGAGATACAGTGCAGGTACGCACTGCGGAAGCAGTGGCACACTGCATAGGACTACACTTCAATAACATCCCAGCAAACCAAAATTGGTTCTGTGAATGTTCCCAGAACATTCATTAGGTTGCCCCAAAAGTTATAATAACACAAAAACTGTCCAGTTGTGCTGATGATTATACAATGTTTGTATAAAACATTCACCTGATTTTGCAAGAACGTTCCCAGAACAAATGTTATACATAACCTGGAAACCTAATAAGAACCTTAGGGGAATGTTATGTGGTTTTTGTTACATATGTTGTGCACAACATTTTAGTGACATTTCCTTATGTATTATTCTTGGAAAAAAACTAACATTTTGTTATCCAAAACATTATTTGAATGTTTTGGGGATGTTGTCATCCTAATGTTAGATACAACCCTGACTAGAACTTAATGGGAATGTTTGCTGGGATGAGGCTCAGCCCACTGGGCACAGACGTCAATTCAATGTCTATCCCACGTTGGTTCAATGTAATTTAGTTGAAATGACGTGGAAACAACGTTGATTCAACCAGTGTGTGCCCAGTGGGAGAACACCCCCAGATCAGGTGCCAACATAAAAAAAACACACATCCAGAAAATCAATTTTTCTATATGCTCCCAGAGCATAAAAAGGGCCTCTCACAGTCATAACCGTTTGAGAATATTTCAGGAATAGTACCCAATTTTACAGGAATATTACCTAATGTTCTTGGAGCGTCCTCTTTATGTGCTAGGTTGTGAACCAGGAGTTTGGAGGCAACAGAGGTTGGTCTTTGGCTCAGCAGGCTGCAGGTCTCGGGGTAATCAGGGTTTGGGGAGTGTAATCATACCAATTAAGTCCTAATTACAATGTAAACACATTATGTTGCCAAAACCAGAGGCCCCCAGAGTGAGGCCTCTGCACCAGGGCAGGCCATGTAGCTCAGCCTCCAGCCTCCCGCTGCAGAACAACTTGGCCCATACGCACACAGTCAAATGACAGAGCCCAACCACCCAGACCTACTCTGTAAAGTGACAGGACCACACTCAGTCACTTAGCTAGTAACTGACTTACTGTACTGTATATGCACTCACTCATAGACATACAGCACTGAAAGGCAGACCTGGACCATTAAGCCAAAAAATGCAAAGGAAATCTATTGTAGCCCATTGGTGGAGGGACATCCAGTATAAGTGAATGTAAAAGAGATCTAGACAGGGCAGTGTCAGCTGCCCCCTCTCCCCAGCCTCTGGTGCTTTGAGATGGGAGAGGTAGTGTGGAGGAACCCTCTGGAGAGGGAGCAGAGAGGTGACGAGATGTCACTGTGCTGTCAGCTCCCAGGATCAGTGTGTTACACAGGGGTGGAAGGGGAGAGGCTGTACTATGTCTCAGGTCAAAGTGCCAACAGGACCTGTTGTTCCTTCAGAGGAAAAATAAAGACTTCCACCTCTTTCTGTCACAATTTTTATTTTATCTCTGATTTCCCCTCTTTTTATTTTTTTTTCCTCACACTCTCTCTCTTTCGCTCTCTCTCTATTTCTCTCACGCTCCCTCTATCTCACACAGCTAATACTCCTTAACAGTGAGTGATCTGTTCCACCATCCCTGTTGTCTGTAATGTATCCCATGACTGTCCTTGGCAGCCAGCCCTTCTCTGATTCTCTTATTGGGCTGTGGCCTGTTCAGCCCCTTATGGCCCTGGCCCTTCATCCTGGGCCTTGGCTGCCCTCCCATTGCCATGTCAGCCCACCCCCAGTGCCACATAACCAGCCTAATCATCATGCCACTTTCCATTACCCATGTCATCCCTCACTCCACGCTCCCTTGCCCATGTGCTAGTGCCCAGCCAGCTGCTCCCCAGGTGGGGGTAGGTGGGGGCAGGTAATGACAGGGCAGGGTGTCGCCATCCACAGTCACCCCAGAATCTCAGAATGATATGATCACTATGTGTATCTGTAGTGGGAGGCATGCATAGGAATGTTTCCTCTATTGTTTTGCTGTACGTGAAGGCCTTAGGTGCAATACTAAGGTATCTTGTGAGGTTAATGATTAGCAGTATTAGGACAAAACAGGTGAGACCAGTGAGTAAAGATAAGATGTGCTAAACCTCATATTTTCAACAAAAGTATTTTAAAGGTGGTTTATAGGCACAGGATGCCGCTAGTGTTCAGTGTTTCAATGGCAGCAGCATCTCTGAAAACAACGCTGAGTAAATGAAGAATACATTTGAACAGCTGTCTCATTACTTTAGTAAATGTAATCCCCAACCCAAACAGATTGCCATCTTCTGGCTCCCTCTCCCTTCCCTCCCTCCATCCCTGTGGCTGTATCTATTACTGGCTTTTTCCATTCACAATGTAGTGGAGCTGGGCTTGACAACTCCCACACCCCTTCTACTCACCAACTGTACAAAGCTGAAACTATATTCAGTAAATGAGCCAGGGAGCAGTGGCCATGGTTGACTGGTCGTGTAGCTGAAGCTGAGGCAGTGTCCAGGGGAGAGAGAGGGAGGGGCCAGAGGTCTGGGAGAATGAGAGCCTTTCACAGCCGCCATGACCTCAGACGTTACTCCAGTGTGACCTCATGTTTTACTGTAGGTTTAAAGAGGGGTGGGGCACAGAGAGAAACAAGATGTTACTGGTCTATATTGGGGGCTCCTCCAATATAGCAATATATTGTACCCTCTCCTGTCCTGCATATTCAGTTCTGGTTCATATCCATTTGCAACTGGCCAGTTGTATGTCTATTGCAATGCATGATTGTCAATCATCTGGACTCCCCCACCTCCCCCCAACACGAAAACACACAAACACACAAACACACGACACTCACACTGTGAAACACAAAGTGTAATGCAATACAAGCCCATGAAAGATGAAACGAGGGGATGGAAAAGAGAAAAAAAACAGGAGATGTCAGAAAGGAAATACAGTAGGAGGGGCAAAAATGTCCAAGTGACATTTAACCGCAACAAGTTCAACATGCTAAATCATCCATGGATTGTTGTGTGTGTGTGCATGTGTGTGTGTGCGTTGAGCAGGTGTTGGGTTGATGGTTTGGAGGGGTTGGTGGGTAGAAATGTCTGACATAGTGATTTAGAAATCGAGGCAAAGCCCTCCACCTGAAGAGCAATCACCACACTGATTTCTGTGCCCTGACTTGTGTCACTGTCATTGGGTGAGATATATTGACAACAGAGTGACACTGAAGGAGTGGTCTGTCTGTAATCTGCGGTGCTGCAGATGCCAAGGTTAAATTGATTTGGGAGGAGGTGGAACTCTTACTCTTCTTCTTCTTCTTCTTCTTCTTCTTAACATACAACTTTGTGGCCGCAGCTTTATGTGCTGCTATACATTCCATGTTTCTACACTGTACAAAATTACTCTTTGGATCAACCCCAAAAAAATACTTAAACTGGTCACAAATAAATGAGTTATATTTTTGCAATTGAAAGATACAATATTTTTTTTAACCAGATATATGATTCAATGCCAAATGTTTTTTATTATTATTACCAAACCTATATTTCAAGTTGCAACCTATTTCTTTCAACACTTAACTTATTTTCCCTCTTTGGTTAAACCTAATATACAGTATAACAAATAGCCTACAAACTAATATTTCATGTAAATACAAACATTTTTTAAACCCAAGCAAATTAGCAATAGATTCCATGCATGTAAATCAAGTTGGTTTCAATAACTTCAATAATGTTTGCGAACATATTCTTTACACAAGACTTTCAAATTTAGTAGCCACAATATTGTTACCAAATATTGGCTACCTTTATAAGGTAACATAGAACCTTATCAGGCTCTTTAGTATCATATCCACTTGTGCAAGTATAATTACAGATGCTGGCAGTGTACAAGTTTAAGTTTGAATAACGAATACAATAGACTAGGGCTGTGGCAGTCATTACATTTTGTCAGCTGGTAACTGTCATGCAAATAACTGCTGGTCTCAGGTAATTGACCTTGAATGAACATAAACACGTTAAGCATCTCCGGGCTTTTACGCATAGGACCTTTGGAACATCTACATTTTTAAAGGTCTAATAAATCAATTTAAAATAGCTTACACCATCACAATAAATCCATTATTTATTTTAGTCAGGTCTAAAGAAACATTTGCCTATGATATGAAGTAAATGTAACCTATTTCAGAAGAACAGGATAGCATATTCTGAATCGTCCTTATGTTAGACCCTGATTTGGCTATGCCATATGGCTGTGGGCTAGCCTACACTAGTTCATTTAGCAGACAAGATTTGCTTATAATTCCCGTGGCATTATTTTATAGCAAAAATAATACAATTGAACATAGCTGAATAAAACAAACATTTCTATTTTTTCCAAATGATTTCCAAGTGAGCACATGCGGCTATTATGTGTTGAGCTTATCAAAGTGGTAATTTGAAACAGATCCTCCTATATGCTTAATTTAGAGTTATTTATGCAACTTTAATTGTGATGCAAACCTTAGACTATATGTTTTGATTTAAAATCTAATCAAATCAAATTGTATTTGTCACATGCGCCGAATACAACAGGTGTAGACCTTACTGTGAAATGCTTACTTACAAGCCCTTAACCAACAATGCAGTTCAAGAAATAGAGTTAAGAAAAATCTGAAGTAAATTCGTACAATATGTTAAGAATTTGCTAAACGTATGATATGTTAAGAATTTTGTAATACATTCTAAGGCTGCATGATGCGATCCTAACGATGATTTGAAAAAAAGTTGCATGAAAGTTATGTGCTCTGCTCTGTTCCATGCACAGGATGCACACTTCATCAGTCTCTCATTCACAATTTGACAAGCACTTGATAATATTCTCACCTACTAATATATGTGTGTAATAATTGTTTATTTAGAATGATCCACCAAAAACAAACGTGTCGTAGCCTGGAATAGCGAATGGAGGAAGCACTTTTTTAGCGTCTTTGCAACTACTTAGCATGTTAGCTAACCCTTCCCCTAACCCTAACCTTAACCCTTCTGCCTAACTCCTAAACCTAACCCTAACCTTAACCCCTAACCCCTTGCCTAGCTAATGTTAGCCACCTAGCTAACATTAGCGTTAGCCACCTAGCTAACGTTAGCCACAACTAATTGGAATTCTTAACATATCATACATTTAGCAAATTCCTAACATATTGTACGAATTGCAATTCATAACATATTGTATGAAATGGATGATGGACATCCACAAATTAATACATACCATACTAATTGCAGTGTCCCGGATTTACGTTTACTATGTTACATCTACCCCTGGTTGTAAGAACACGTTTCACTAGGCTCTGTAGGCTATGGGCTCTCCAACCCTGTTCCAGGGGTCCTAGGCCTATAGCAGGGGATCCCAAACCTTTTTTGACCACGACCCCATTTTGATATCTGAAAATTCTCGCTACTCCAACCATGTGAAAAGATTATGTAATTAACAGCCCAATGATTACTTTATTCATTGGGGCTATGGCAGTCAATTGAAAAACATTCTAACAGTATTTCTGATTGTATTCTCAACTCACCATCATACTTTTAATCTGGGGCTATAACTGTCAATTGCAAATTAGTCTGACATCATTTATCTTATCTCACCACCACTAATGAGATGCATGTTGCCTCGGAGCTTCTCAAAGTCAGGGGGCGTGGTCGACAGTGATCACCTCATCTCTCCTGTCACATCCAACCTGGATCGATATTTGTTTTTAATGCAGACGAGAGCACTGAATCAGCGTACCATGAGTTTTAATGCTCAGAGGGAGACGGCACAGTATTCCCTTTGAGTCAGGAACCAAAACTCCTCCATAGTGACCTGTGAATGCGTTGTCTGCAGCATTTGGTCACATGACAGCTTGATCAGCTGTTCGATTTCACTTAGCACACAGCATGTCAACTGAGCCAGGATCACAGTCAAACGGATTTCGCTGATTCGGCCACTAGTCTGTAGATTTTTTTTGTATTTCCCCTGCATGCTTGCGTTCACTTCATTCAGTTTCCCAAATATTTCTGTTACGTAGGCCTTGGAGACCAGTGGCGGCTCCTGAAAAAATTCTCAGGAGGGGCAATTTTTCTGATGATTTAGGTGACCTACACACATTTTAAAAAAGATATGTCCAGCAACAACATGAAGACAGGGGCAGCATATAAGTCAATACCAGAAGCATTTATTGACTGATCTGGGGAGATGGATTCCAGTTTCTGTGACAGATTATAAATAATCTCTGATGCCTTTGTTATATTAGCTTTTGGTTGAATGTACTGTCGTAGTAAATATATAATGTTATAGCTTGGTCTGACTAAAATCTTGTGCATGACCCATTTTGTGTTGGGCGTTTGTTTTCAATCAATGCTGTTCCTATCCTATAACAATGGACAAAAGAG